GGTCGGCTTCCTCCCCCCCCCCGCCTCTCCCGCCTATCCTGGCGTCAGCTTCCATCTGCCGACCGGCCCCCAAGCATGTCCCAGCGTTGGCTTTCCAGTGCCCCTTACCGCCACCCCTCTGGGGCCGAGCTCTGTTTGGCTCCCAGCCGTTGGCTCCACCTGCGGGTGCCCGTGCTGACCGCTCCCCTGACCCTGCCCAGCAGCCTAGTCTTTTCTCCTCTCCTCCTAGTGACCCTGGTCCCACCAAAGGCTTTGGGTTTGGTCACCCCTCTCTTGCCTCTTTTCATTTTCAAAGTCACCCTGCCCCTCCGAGCACCTGTCACGAGCTGCCCAGGGCGTTACCTGTGCAAGAGTACCTGGGTTACCAGCCGCTCAGGGAGTCAGCAGGTCCAGGGCACCTGGGTTGCACCCTTGATGTCTCAGCAAACATTTTTGCCAGCGTTGTGCCATCAGAGCCTCCCCAGAGAAGTCTCTGGACAGGCTCCAGTTCTGGAAGTGCTTCTGAGGCAGAGAGTGATGACCTACCAATGCTTCCAACATGGAGGCAAAAACTACTGAAAGTCCAGTGCCCCGCAGGCTTTCAGGCACAAGAGGATGAGGATGAAGCCGTCTGCCAGCAAAGCCGGGAGGACACTGTGCCTTGGCCTGACCTCCTCCGTCTACAGACTAAGGTATTTGTCCTTTCTTCCCTTAAATCTGTAGTTAGTTACCTCTGCAGTTGACAACTGTGCTCCTCCATGCAGCAGCTGCTCCTAGAGCTGTTTGTTTCCAGCCCAGGTGAGGGACTGTGCCGGGGCTGTGCCTCCACGACAGTCACACTGCTTCCTTCATCGAGAAACTCTTCTACAAAACAAAGCAAAACAGGCAGCTGAAGTAGAGAGTGTGCTTGACTGGCTTGTGTTTATCTGTTAACCACTAGGCTACAGCCTCATATTCCTCAGCTGAAAAATCAGCCTTCCGGAGCCCGAGCAGGTCCTGGGATAAGTCCTTCACTTCCTAGGTTCTAGAACTGATGAGTTGCAGTTCGTATACATTTCACATGGTGAAGGAAAGCCAAGCACTGTAAGCATGCTTCACATATTTTCATATGAGGTCATGGAGGTGTAGGTATAATTCAGTATGTGGTCTCGTGTTAGAGCTCATTCTTCCCCTTGCTCAGCTAATGGACACCCTATAAGGTAGCTCAGCACTGGCTCTAAGGCCCAGTCTCGCATCTGTAGTTCTTGGTTTTGATGTGAAGTGGTTTAGTGAGGTGGAAAGGACTTGAGTCCCCACCCTGCCCCTTGGTGACCCAGGCAAGTCAGATAAGCTGTGTGAGCCTCCGTTTCCTCATCCATGTGATGGGCTAATGATGGTGTCTGTCCCCTGGAGTGGTGTCAGGGTTAGGCAAGATGGTGACAGCGGCCCAGCTTTCCTGCCTGAGACCGTGCCCAAGAAGTCGGGACAATGAAGGCCAAGTGTGAACCCCACAGCCGCTTGTGGCTCTGCTGCTTGTTGGCTGTGTGACCTTGGATAAGGTGTTTAACTTTTCTGTGCCTTAGTGTCCTCATCTGAGGTGTGAGTATAATAATAGTGCCTCCACAAGAAGTGACTGAAAAGATAAGAGAACACTGCCTGGTGCCAGCTCTACAAAGGTTGACACGTATTCTCACTGCCGTAATTTCTCAAGTTATTGCCATCGATCTTTTTTCCAAAGACGGTCTCGCTCTATTGCCTAAGCTAGACTGTAGTGGTGCAACCGTAGCTCACTGCAACCTCGAATTCCTGAGCTCAAGCAATCCTCCTGCCTCAGCCTCTCCAGTAGCTGGGACTATAGGCATGTGCCACCACACCCGGCTGTTGTTTTAATTTTTTGGAGAGACAGAGTCTTGCTGTATTGTCCAGGCTGGGTCATAGATCTTTAGCCTTGCACCTACCTGGCACTGCACCCTCCCTTTATCTCCCTGTATGGACTCTCCTGGGGCCTGTCCCTTCTGAAGTGAGGATGCCACGCTCTGGCCCACTGCACACTCCTACACATATGACAGCTTGGACAGTGTAACAATGCCGAACATAGAAAGGTCTGTCACCTTCCTCTTTCAGACCTCAGGCACATTTCTACGCTGAACAAAAGGAATCATGCTGGAGGCCTGTTCTGCGAGACAGGGCCTCTGGCGAGCAGTGCCGTGTTGTGTGCTTACACACTTGCATGGGGTGGGTCTCGTGGTAAGCGTCAACAGGAACCAAAACGAAACCAAGACGTGGAAGGAAACTTTGGGAAGTGATGGAGAATTTGTGGCATTGCTAGAGACAATAGTGTGATGGTTTGATGGGATTACATTCATTTTCAAACACATCAAGTTGGATACATTAAATATCTTTGGTTTTTTTGTATGTCAGTCATATCTCAAAGTGATGTTTTTATTTTATTTATTTATTTATTTATTTTTTGAGTTGGAGTCTCACTCTGTCGCCAGACTGGAGTCTCCACTCTGTCGCCCCTCCCGGCCACCGCAGCCTCGACCTGCTGGGCTCTGGCGATCCTTCCGCCTCAGCCTTCCGAGTAGCCGGAATTACAGGCATGCGCTACCACGCCCGGCTGATTTTTTTATTTATTTGTAGAGACGAGGTCTCGCTGCCCAGGCGGGTCTCGAACCCGCGTGCTCAGGCAATCCACTCACCTCAGCCTCCCAAAGGCGCGGGATTACAGGCTGAGCCACCGAGCCCGACTTCAAAGTGATGTTTTTTAAAAAAGGAATCATGCTGTTTAAAAGTTTGGGAAGTACTGGTTCAAAGCACTTCTAGAAGAAGAAGGGTAGAGTTTTATTTTATTTTATTTATTTTTTGAGTTGGCGTCTCACTCTGTCACCCAGGCTGGAGTGCAGTGGCGCACTCATGGCTGCTGCAACCTCGACCTGCTGGACTCAGGCGATCCTTCCACCTCAGCCTTCCAAGGAGCTGGAACTACAGACGCATGCCACCAAACCCGGCTAGTTTTTTTGTGTGTGATTTATTGCAGAGATGAGGTCTCACCAAGTTGCCCAGGGTGGTCTCGAACCCCCGGGCTCAGGCAATCCTCTCACCTCAGCCTCCCAAAGTGCTGGAATTACAGGCTGAGCCACTGCACCCAGCCGAGTATTATTTTAAAATCTCTACACATGAACCTCTTGTCAGACCTTTTATTTATTTACATTTATTTTTATTTTTGTGTCGGTCTCACTCTGTCGCCCAGACTGAAGTGCAGTGGCATGATCACGGCTCACCACAGCCTCAACCTCCTGGGCTCAGGCAATCCTCCTGCCTCAGCCTCCTGAGGTGCAGGACTAGGTGCATGCCACCATGCCCAGTTAATTTTTTTATTTTTTTGTAGAGTCGAGGTCTTGTTATGTTGGCCAGGCTGGTCTCAAACTCCTGGTCTTAAGTGATCTTCCCACCTTGGCCTCTCAAAGTGCTGGGATTACAGCAATGAGCCACCACACCTAGACTTCTTTTCAGACTTTTTATAAATTATACCAGATATGTAGTGTCCATAGTATTTATAAGGTTCCAAACAATACTGTGTCACTAGTCCATGAAGAACTTTGATTTTACCGTTAAAAAAATTTTTAGAGCCAGTGTGGTGGCTTACACCTATAATTCCAGCACTTTGGGAGGTGGAGGTGAGAGGATTACCTGAGCCCAGGAGTTTGAGACCAGTCTGGGAAACTTGGCAAGAACTTGTCTCTTCAATAAATCAAAAAATTAGCTGGGTGTGGTAGTGTGAACCTGTGGTTCCAGCTACTTGGAAGACTGAGGCAGAAGGATTCCCTAAGGCCAGCAGGTTGAGGCTACAGCGGCCGTGAGCGTGCCACTGAACTCCATCTGGCGACAGAATGAGACTCCAACTCAAAGAAAAGAAAAATGATAAATGTCTTAACTGATTGAAACAACCTGTTTTATCTGTCACATAACTTTTTATGTGACTGAAATTTGTTTTTTTAATTCATAGGATGGTTTCTGGAAACTTACACCTGAACTGGGATTCATATTAAACCTTAATACCAATGCTTTACATACGTTTCTTGAGGAAAAAGGCATTCGATCTCTAGGTAAGTCACTGTCTTTCTATTCATTAAGTTGCTACTTTCATTCATTCATAGGCATACTCCTAATTCTTTTTTATTTTATTTTATTTTTTTGAGTCGGAGTCTCACTCTGTTGCCCAGACTGGAGTGCAGTGGCTGCTCCCGGCCACCGCAGCCTCGACCCGCTGGGCTCCAGCGATCCTTCCGCCTCAGCCTTCCAAGTAGCCAGAATTACAGGCATGCGCTACCACACCCAGCTGATTTTTTTTGATTTATTGGAGAGATGAGGTTTCGCTGCCCAGGCAGGTCTCGAACCCGCGGGCTCAGGCAATCCACTCACCTCAGCCTCCCAAAGGTGCGGGATTACAGGCTGAGCCACCGAGCCCAGCCTGGGTCCATTTCTTATTTGCACAGTGAAGGGATAGAAGAGGGGCTTCTGAGCGTACTTGAACCAGCAGGTGGTTTGAAGGCCAAATGCTGGGATGGGAGGTTTTTTCTTCTTTTAGAGACAGGGTCTTGCTCTGTGGCCCCAGCTGGAGTGCAGTGGTGCCATCACAGCTCACTGCAGCCTCATACTCCTCGGCTCAAGCAATTCTCCCACCTCAGCTTCCTGAGTAGTGCACAGGTGTGCCCGGCTAATTTTTTGACAACTATGTTGCCTAGTCTGGTCTTGAACTGCTGGCTTCAAGCAGTTCTCCCATCTCAGCCTCATGACTAGCACACAGGCATGGGCTGCTGTGCCTGACTAATTTTGTGACAGGGTCTCACTGTGTTACCTAGCCTAGCCTTGAGCTCCTGTCCACAAGCTGTCCTCCTGCCTCGGCCTCACAAACTGTTGGAATTATAGGTATGAGCCACTGTGCCCAGCCAAGATTTTCATCATTTATTTATTTATCTAATTATTTATTTGTTTTAAAGTTGTAGGGTAAGTTCAGGATTAGATATACAAGTGGTCATCGTACAGGTCAAATTTGGGCCTCCCTTCTGTCCCCATTTTGCCTGTTTGAGATCAAGTTCTCTATTTGATGTTGTATTCCCCACCCCCGGCTGTATCCTGCTACTGCCAAGCCCTTTCTTACAGTGTTATGGTAAATGTTCAGGGTCCGCTTATGAGTGACAAAAATTTTTTTATGCAATAAACATTATTAAACAACTAGCCAGAATTTGTGGATAAACAGCAGTGTCTCACTGCCGTGCCATCACCTCTCAAATGCCAGAGTTTCCATATTCTAGGCTGGGTAGGGGCAGATGCATAGCCTGTTTGGTCTGCGCTGAGCTAAAAAAGGGTGATGACAATTTATGTGAGGAGCAGGTGCTTGTACCTGGAATAGTAGAAGAGCTTATATCTGACTCTCCTGCCAGTAACAGATATTGACTCTGAACAAAATATTTAAAGCTACTCTTTGAAGCCCTGGAGCAGTGAAAAACAGGCAGAAACTCAAGGACGCACAATCTTTGAAGGAAGGAAAGCGGCAGTAGTGGGGTACTGTCAGGGTGGGGGGTGGGGACACAACATCAGTGAGGGTATCTGATCTCAAAACAGGTGAAGTGGGGACTAAAGAGAGGCCCAAGCTTTACCTGCACAGTGTCCACTAGTATACCTAATCCTGAATTGTACATCTAAAATAAAATAAAAGGGGAAAAAAGGGAGGCAAACCAGATGAGCTTCACGTTATTTAGCTTTTCACCTAAAGGCACCTCCCAGCTCATGAGGCACATGGGAGATTAGAACTGAAGCAGAGGCCGGGCTCAGGTGCAGCCTGTAATCCCAGCACTTTGGGAGGCCAAGGCAAAAGGATTGCCTGAGCCCCATGCGGGCAACTTGGTAAGACCTCGTCTTTACAATAAATCAAAAAAATTAACTGGGCGTGGTAATGTGTGCCCAGTTCGGGCTACTTCAAAGGCTGAGGCAGAAGGATCGTCGGAGCCCAGCAGGTTGAGGCTGGGGTGGCCTGGAGCGTGTCACTGCCCTCCAGCCTGGGTAACAGAGTAAGACTCAATAAAAAAAAAAAAAAAAAAAAAAAGAACTGAAGCAGAAAATCTAACAGGGTGAGAATGCGAGGCTGTAGTTTGAGGCTGCTGGAATGGCTGGAAACTAAGGGTGAAAATCCCATAAAGGAGGGAGCCACAGGGCAGGGAGCTCTGAAATCTGCATCCAGATTTCCCTAAGGTCCTTGGCTGTCCCTAACCTCCACATATGCAAGGTGGCAGGGTGCAACGACTGGGAACCCAGAAGGAAGCAACAGCAGGGACGCTATTGAGCTGAGCAGAGATTTCAGCTGCTGCCAAGTGCTGGCTGGACACAGTCTGGAGTTCAAGTGGCATCAAATTAGACAGACTTGATAAGTGTCCTCCCACTCACACCATAAAAGGGTCATAAGGACCATATCTCATGATCAAGGACTAAACCCCAGAAGGAAGGAATAAACCCAAATAGGCCCACCATAACAAAGCTTAGAACAAAACCTTCCCAGGACACACTGGAATAAAACGGAACTCTCATTAGAGGAAGATACCAAGATGGAGTCTCTATGAGGCATCATCTTTAATGTTCAGTACTGAAAGAAAATTTAGCAACACATGCAGGAGTGGGACAGTATGACTTGTCATCAAGGGAAAAGTGGTCTGTAGATACTGACCCACAGATGACCCAGATGTGTACTTGAAATATTCCATAACCAGTCTGGGCGCAGTGGCTCAAGCCTGTAATCCCAGCAGTTTGGGAGGCCAAGGTGAGAGGATTGCCTGATCCTGCGGGTTTGTGACCGGCCTAGGCAACATGGCGAGACCTCGTCTCCACAATAAATCAAAAATTTCGCCGGGTGTGGTAGTGTGCATCTGTAGTTCCGGCTACTTGGAAGGCTGAGGCGGAAGGATCGCTGGAGCCCAGCAGGTCGACACTGGGGTGGCCCGTGAGCGTGCCACTGCACTCCAGCCTGGGTGATGGAGTGGAACTCCAAATCAAAAAAAAGAAAGAAAGAAAGAAATATTCCATAACCAGAAACTCCACGATCAAGTGGCTACATCATAGTGCACAAGCGGTGCTGTATATCAAACATCTTCGATGATGATAAAGATAATTTGCCTGGGAAACTGTTAGATGACTCACTGTGGCTCTAAGGATTATAAAGATAGATATGAAAAGTTAGAAAAAAACTTTCATCAAAAGATTGCAAAAATAAGAATATTTCAAAACTAATTTACATGAAATGATTTCAATGATGAAACTTGTGTTTTAAAATGAGATGTTTAGCCAGGCTCTGTGGCTCAGCCTGTAATCCCGCGCTTTGGGAGGCCGAGGTGAGTGGATTGCCTGAGCCCGCGGGTTCGAGACCCGACTGGGCAACTTGGCGAGACCTCATCTCTACAATAAATCAAAAAATCAGCCGGGCGTGGTAGCGCACGCCTGTAGTTCCAGCTACTTGGAAGGCTGAGGCAGAAGGATCACCGGAGCCCAGCAGGCCGGGACCTGCACTCCAATCTGCACTCCACTGCACTCCAATCTGGGCAACAGAGTGAGACTCCAACTCAAAAAAATTTAAAAAATGATGTTTGTTAATTTATTAGTTCAATATATGTAAACATTCATTTTTCAACTTTGATATTTCATAGTGTAATAAAATATTTTGATTGGACACTTGCAAGTACTCATTACTGAAAATCACTCCCAGGGCTCAGTGGTTTAGCTTGTAATCCCAGCAATTTGGGAGGCCGAGTCAAGTAGATTACCTGAGCCTGCAGGTTTGAGACCAGCCCCAGCAACTTGGCGAGACCTCATCTCTACAATAAATCAAAAATTAGCCAGGCATGGTAGCGTGTGCCTGTAATTCCTGCTACTTGGAAGGCTGAGGCAATCGCCAGAACCCAGCAAGTCGACGCTGGGAAGGCCGTGAGTGTGCCACTGCATTCCAGCCTGGGTGACGGAATGAGACTCCAATTCAAAAAAAAAAGAAAAGAAAAAAGAAATCACTCCCAGCACTTTGAGAGGCTAAGGCAGGAGGATCGCTTGAGTCCAGGAGTTCAAGGCTGCAGTGACCTATGATTGTACCACTGCACCCCAGCCTGGGCGACAGAGTGAGACCCTGCCTCTAAAAAAAAGGAAAAAGAAAATAAATAATTGGACACACTGGTATCAGTGGCCATGTCTGTTGTTTATCTGCTGTGTGTTTAGGTTAACTGAGCTATTTGTAGCAGGAGCCCAAAACGGAACTTCTTCCGTCACACTTGATGCCTCTCTGGTGACTGAAGATGGCAAGGGGGAGGGTGCTACAGTTCGGTTTCCTAACGACCACCAGGATAATATGATAGGCATGTGTTCCAATCATCCTCATCTAGTATTTAAATAGCAGGCTGATTAAGGATCTTGGAGAGCATTACAGTACAGAGTTTTATGATCTACGAGTTTATTATGGCTTAACAGTATAATTCTTTTTTTTTTTTTTTGAGTCTAATTCTCACTCTGTTACCCAGACTGCAGTGTAGTGGCACGCTCATGGTGATCCTTCCGCTTCAGCCTCCTGGGTAGCTGGAACTACAGACATGTGCCACCACGCCCAGCTAATTTTTTGATTTATTGTAGAGATGAAGTCTCGCCAAGTTGCCCAGGCTGGTCCCGAACCCATGGGCTCGGGCAGCCCTCTCACTTCCACCTCCCAAAATGCTGGGATTACAGGCCTCAGCCACCGTGCCAGGCCTGTATTATGGTTTAACAATGTTACAATTCTTTAATGGAAACGTTATGAACAGGCACAGTTGGAGATTCCATGAAGGAGTTTTTTTTTTCAGGGCTCAAAGGAAGAGAGCGTCTCCTGGACCTGATTGCCACATTGCTCGTGTTGCAGTTCTTTTGCACCAGGTTGGAACGAGAAGGAATAGTCTTCAAATCGCTAATGAGATTGGATGACACCTCCAATTCCAGGTGACTTTAACTACAGAATTATGCAACACTCTTGAGTCTCCAGCTGTTTATGCAATAACCTTACAAGCAGCTACAGGGAAGGAATTTACTCGTAACACCACCTGTGGGTGCACCGGGAGGGCTGTGTGTTCACAAGGGACTTCTGTGGCTGGCATGGCACTTGCCCCTGTTGTGCAGGAAGCTGGGAGTGAGTGCAGCTTCCGCAGGAGACCGGCGTTCCGGTCCTGCCATGGTCCTCACCGCTCTCAGGTACTAGCCCTGTGTGCTGGGAGGGCCACAGCATGAGTGTTGGGACTAGGACTGTCCCTGCAATGGCAGGGCCTGGGACAGGGATACACGTGGAAACCCACACACAACATGTCTTAAGTAGTTAAACGGTATGTCAGACTAGCACACCATTAAATGCAAGACCTTCTGATCTCCTCCTCGACAAATACAACTTCATCACCACCTGGAAGGCAAGGTTCACGTTCAGCCCTTGATTGGCCTCCATACCATAAGAGGCCTTGAGTACACACATGAATACCGTATGCCACTGGCTTTCCCTCGGCCACCCTGCAGCTCCAGTGATATGGCAGTACAGTTCAGACTCAGGAGGACAGGCCCAGGGAAGACCCAGGAATGCTGGAGGCTCTAAGAAGGAATATGGGTCCTGGGTGAGCGCACACTCTTGTCCCTATGAACTCTTCACCCCTATAGTGAGAGCATGAACAGAACGGGCCCCTCTGATATAAACACATACATTCACATTCATACATGCATACACATACACACACGCACATATACACAGACACATACAAATGTATATGTAATTTGCTTATGTTCTTTTAAAGGGAAAACAAATAAAAATATTATCACCTATAGGAAGAGGGAGAGGATACCATAGAGGGAAGGATTGGAAGCTAGGTTTCTCCTAATGTATTTTGTTCTGCAGCTTGACTTTAGAACCATGTAA